CAAGGCCAGCCCTCCACAGCCCTGGCTGGAGCGCGGATGCCCCCCCCCCGCGCACGCGCACACACACACACACACACACACATGCATGTGCACACCACACCCACCGATCCACGTGTGCAGTGAGAGGCTCTTTTGCACTGCCACAAAGCCACGATACACTGGACCCAATTCATCGAAATTAGTGAAAGTAAAAATTGTGTCCCTGGCTGCGTTAGTCACATTTGTATTGCTCAGAGCAGCAGGCGGGCTTTCACTTGCCACCCTTCACGTGGGCCTCACCTGTGCACAGGTGGGCCTGAGGGGCACCTGCCTCTCCAGCTCGCACGCCTGCCTGCTTGCTTGCTCCTCTCTCCTGTGTCTACACTGACTCTGTGCTCTGCCCTGCAGAATAACAGGGCCACAGGGCCAAGGATTTAGCTCAGCGGCACTGCGCTTGCCTCGCAAGCCTAAGATCCAGAGTTTGATACCTGGTACCCCCCGCAAAAAAAGATCTTAGTCAACAGGGCCTTATCGATGACGTCTAGTCTATAGGGTGGACGGCAGAGAGCTTGGGGAACTCAGAGGGCCCAGCTGAGCTTGGGCTGGACAGGAGAAGGGATGTCGTAACCCACAGCAGCCTGACCTGGAGGCCAGGTCTCAAGCACAGAAAGAAGGACCATCAAGGGCCGGGGGTTTAGCTCAGTGGTTCTGCCGCCTGCCTCTCAAGGTCAAGGACCCAAGTTCAATCCCCTCTGTACCAAAAAAAAAGAAAAAGAAAAAGAAAGAAGGACCAGGGTGGCGAGAGGAGTAATGCGGAAGTTGGGTGTTTGTTGGGAACCGCAGTCACCCTGTTTGACTGGTATGAAAGGTGTGGGCCACAGAGGGGCAGTGGCCCTGGACAGGTAGAGCCTTCCAACCTCAGCTCCAGGATACCTCCAGTTCTGTAAGGGGCCGGAGGTTCAGGTAGATGGCGGTTACCTGGGCCGAGTGGCAGGCAGGCAGATGTCACCAAGCAGTCAGTGCATTGATCCATCAATCACGCGACTTCTGATAACCTGCATGTGACTAAGTCTTCACTTCTGTGCCATAACTTCTTAGACTAATTCCCACTTTACACTGTCCTAACACGGCACAGATACTCGTGAACTATTAAAGACCGTCATTAATAACCACGAGTGCTCGATGGCAGCCACAGTGGTGGCACTAAGCACGGATTTAAAGGGATGGCTGCACGGTCTCGTGCCGCTCTCTGCAGATCCCAGGCAGGGACACAGGACAAGGCTTCTTCCCCTACAGTTTGGGCCCTGAGGCCTTGGGGGAGAGGGGGAGACAGCTGTCATCTCCGTCTCCCTGTCCACTCCAGGCCCCCTGCTCTCTGGATTCTCTGTCCCCCACTACCACACACCCCACTGTCCTTGTTCCCTGAGATGGGGACTCAACCATTCAGCTCCCCTCTGGGACCCTCAGGTTCTCAGCTAGGCAAGGAGAGCTAAGGAGAGGATGAAGGGAAAGAAAGGGAGGGAGAAGGAGGAAGAGGAAGCAAGAATTTGGGGGGAGAAGGAAGTGGCTGCTGGGCAGACTGGCTCTCGGGGACCCTTGCATTCTCCACGGGCCGAGGGCCCCTGTCCCCCCAGGGATTTCCCTCAGTGCTTTCTCAAAGCTCCCTGAGGCCCCTAGGAGATGGTTCCGAGGCCTAGGCCGCCTCCTCCCTCTAAGAGAGTGACAGGAGCTTTCCTTGCTCCGGGCTTTCTCCCAGGGACCTCTGGCAGGCCCTGGGGACCCCTCTCTTGCTGGACTGCCTGCTCCCCAGGCTAAAGGCCAGATGTCCCTCCATGTCTGTCTGGGAGGAGGAAGGGGTCCCAGGTACTCACTAATCCCACATCTCCCCTCCTCCCAGGACCTTGGGCGGCACTTCCCTTAGACCCCAACCCCGCAGGGTGCCCACAGCCTGGCACTGTTGGGAGAGGGCAAGAGGTTTGCCAACTTAGGATCTGAAGGGAAGTGTGTGCGTTCATGCACATTTGTGTGTGTGTGTGTGTGTGTGTGTGTGTGTGTGTGTGTGTGTGGGGGAGTGTGTGTTTTTGTGCATATGTGTGTGTGTGTGTGTGTGTGTGTGTGTGTGTGTGGCTCATATAGCATGGGCTGCCTGAGTGGCACTGCAGGGTAGAAGAGGGCTTGGAAAAACACAAGGTGAATTGAAGAGAAAGAAATGAAAGAGGAAAGAAAAAGATTTAAGCTACAAGAAAGGCCAGAGGAAGGGGGGATCCAGTCTAGAAGGGGTATAGAGCAAGGGCAGCAGACGGGAGGCGAGTCCACCCACCCTGATCCCCTCCCTGCAGCTCTCCCTCCCCCAGAGCCCAGGGAGGAAATGAGGAGGCCACTGCAGAAGTGTCTGGGTCATTTCCACATGCTTTATTCCAGCAATTAAAATAATTAAAAACATCTCAAATTATTATACACATACAAAATAGGTACAGAGTCTCTTGCTTCCTCCCACCCTGGGGCAAAAACTGCTTTGTGCTTTGGGAAGTTGTGCTCCGAAAATGCAGGACAGTGGAGGAGAGAGATGTGAGGAGGGAGGGCTTCAGAGGAGTCCGAGAGGCAGGGTGGGGAGAGGGAGGAGGGGAGGGAGCAGGCTGGAGCCGCCCCTCTGCCCCCCACATTAAATAGCACCGTTAGAAGAAAATTCACGAGTCCCCATCTGCAAGGAAGACTGAAAGGAGGAGAGAAAGAGCTGGAGAGCAAAAGACTTTGAACAAAAAAAGGAACATTTGTTGGCCCGGTGGGGGGCACCCCAACGTTTTTAGCACCAGAAACTCCTCCCCCACCCCACCATCACATTGATGTAGCACCTTTGATGTCACACAGGGGGGCCGCTGCCCCTGCCCCGCCCCCCCAGTCACCAGTGACACAAGAACGAGGTAGTCTTTCAGCAACACAATTACACAAGGAACAGAGCATCTCGCCCACCCAGCCCTGCCCACGGGGGCGCTCCAGGTGCTCCCCCAAGTCCAACGTCACTGCTCTGCGGTGCTGTGGCCCTGCCCGACTCTCTGGAGACCCCTGGGAAGGGCCCTCCCGGAAGCAGGGTGGGGTGTGTTGCAGAGGCCTTGGGGATGCCAGATGGGTGGGCTCCTTTGGCAGTCTGGGAACCCCGAGGTATCCCCAGGATTGGGGGCAACGGCTGGGGGCTGGAGGCCACTTGGATTTTTCAGCATTGCCTTTGGTTGCTGGGCAGACAATGCATTGTTTCTTGTGCCTTTGGGGTGACTTGGATTTGGGGAACAGTGGAAGAGAGGCCCCAAGGAGCGGACAAAGGGGCAGGAAGGGCAGCACTGGGGTATCAGAAGCCCAGCGGGCAGAAAAAGACTTACCCCCACGTGGGTCTTCAAGCAAGCGGAACAAGCTTCCTTTTTTAAAAACTTATTTATTTATTCTTTTTTTTTTCCCCGTAAGGGTCAATGCATTTTTGGTTTTTTGGTCATGTTCAGTTGGTCAAAGAAAAAAACTAGGTTTGAGAGATGAATGTAAAGGAAAAAAAAATATTTTCCAAAGTCCATGTGAAATTGTCTCCCATTTTTTTTTTGGCTTTCGGGGGGGCATTCAGTTTGGGTTGTTTTTCTGTTTCTGGAAAGGGGAGTGGGCTGGGTGGGAGGGAGCGGGGGTGGGAAAAAAGGGGTTTACACGAAGCAGACAGGGCTAATGTCAAAGCCGAATTCCTGGTCTGGGGCGCCAATGTCCAAGGGAGCCACATCGATGATGGGCAGGCGGGAGGTCTTGGTGGTTCTGTACTCGATGACTGTCTTGCCCCAGGCTCCCGTGTGACTCTGGGTGAAGGGACACAACGGAGGACCCATTACCAAGGGCAGAGGTGGAGCCCGGAAGTCGGGGCTGCCCTGAAAGCCAAAGCCTAGAGTGGGGTGGAGGGCCCTGGGGACTTACCGTGCAGCCGTCCTCCAGGGCCACGTAAGTGAAGCGGCTGTTGCCCTCGCCCCGGAGCTCAATGTCGTTGGAGCCCTGGAGGAGCAGAGACTTCTTGAGGTTGCCGGTCTGCTGGTCCAGGTAGGCCACGCTGTTCTTGCAGTGATAGGTGATGTTCTGGGAGGCCTCGGTGGACATCAAGCGCAGGAAGGTCATCTGGATGGCCACGTCAGCAGGGTCGGAGTCCAGGCTGCCATATTTGAACTGCGGGGGAAACGACAGGGCTCGAGTGAGCGACCTTCGGGGCCTGTGCCCTGGCCTCCACCCCAAGTCCTCTGACAGCATCCGTCCCCAGCTAACTTAGCTCGAGAGACGTCTCCCTGCACACAGCACCTGCGTCTGAGCCGGCGGCGGCAAGGACCCAGGCTCCCATCCCTCTCCCAGCTCTGCCCCCACATGCAGCAGCAATCTGGTCTCTCCCGGGCATGGGGTAGCATCTTCTGAGAGTGGCCCTAGGGTCCAGCTCATGTACCTGGGATCCACCGTCCATGCTCTCGCCGTACCAGATGTGTTTCTTCTCCTTGGGGTTCTTGCTGATGTACCAGGCCTTCTGAGCCACGGTGGGCTGGACGGGGTACACGCAGGTCTCGCCTGTCTCCATGTTGCAGAAGACCTTGATGGCGTCCAGGTTGCAGCCTTGGTTGGGGTCGATCCAGTATTCTCCTGCAGCGGGGCAGGACGAGGGGAGTCAGGGGGCAGGAGAGGCAGCCCCTGTGGGCATGGGGAGGCTGGTACGGGAGGAAGAAGAGGGAGGGCAGCCGGGGCAGGGCCTCACCGCTCTTCCAGTCGGGGTGGCACATCTTGAGGTCGCGGCAGGTGCGGGCGGGGTTCTTGCGAGTGCCTTCGGGGCTGCGGATGTTCTCGATCTGCTGGCTCAGGCTCTTCAGGGTGGTGTCCACCTCGAGGTCACGGTCACGGACCACGTTGGCATCATCGGCCCGGTAGTAGCGGCCATCGCCAGACTTCTCTTGAGGTGGCTGGGGCAGGAAGCTCAAGTCGTAACCGCCGCTGGGAGGACCGGGGGGACCAGCGGGTCCAGGAGGGCCGGGGGGACCCTGTGCAGAGAGAGAAAGAGGAGGTCAGGGGGTTACCAGTGTCTGAGCAAACCCCCTAGGAGCTGGAGGGACATGAGGGGGGCGGGGGGAGAATACATACAGCAGGACCAGCATCACCAGTGCGACCGCGAGGACCAGGAGGACCGATGGGGCCAGGCAGACCGTTGAGTCCGTCTTTGCCGGGAGAACCGGCAGACCCGGGAGGACCCTGGAGGGAGAGAGAGATCGTTGGAGAGGGCCTCCCAGAAATGATCCCAGTTCCCTCTGAGGAACCCACCACCCTGCCTGCTGGACCAGGTGGGAAGGGCCAGGGGCAGCACAAGACTGTCCAGGAGCCTTCGTCCCTGTGTCCCCGGGGAAGGTCCCCAAGGTGGACCTGGGCGGGGGACCTGGGAAGACTCCACTTACACGGGGACCAGCAGGACCAGAAGCTCCAGAGGGACCTTGTTCACCAGGAGAGCCCTGAAGGACAGAGACAAAGGCAGTTCAGGCCCAGTGTGGGTCCAGTACAGTCTTGGCACTGGCGGGGGACCCAGAGGGCAGGGTGGGCATCCCACACCCCTCCCTATTGGGGAAATCTTGCTCCAGCCTCTCCATAGGCTGAGCCGCTCTTTCAGCCCCTCTCAGAAACTACTTCGAAATGGCCATAAAACTTTGGTCCCCGGGCCCCACTCTGGAGGATCCAGAGTGTCTATTCAGAGGGGAAACCCAGGCAAATGTTTCTTGTCCCCCATTACCCAGCACAGCATGGGGAGATGAAGGAGAAGGCGCATTGGGCGGGGACCTGGGGAGCTGGGCACACTCACAGGAGGGCCGGGGGGACCCTGGAGACCAGAGAAGCCGCGGTGACCCTTGATGCCTCTGTCACCCTGTTCGCCTGTCTCACCCTTGTCACCACGGGGACCTTGGGGTCCCTAGAAGAGAAGAGGGGACAGGCTGTCAGGTGGTGTTCCAGTTGGCACTGAGTAAAGAAGTGCTGTCCACGCTGGCTGAGGGTTTTCAGGGCACAGGGGTTGGCATGGGCCACTTACAGAGGGGCCACGGGCACCAGCAGGGCCAACGGGACCAGCAGGACCAGCAGGACCCTGGGGAGAGAAGAGAGCATAGTTAGACCTGGGCTGGTGCAGCCCACCTGCCCATGTCCCCCCACGTGGCCATTTCTCCTGACCCCCTTACAAACCTCCCACAGCCAGCTTCCTGTGAGCAGGGCAAACCACTCCCACTCCTGGGACAGGGCGTTCTGGGTGAGGGTCCCGAGGCCGAGCTCTGATTTTCCAGTGAGGCCAAGGACACAGATGTCTTACAAGCTTGCCTCTCCTCTCCCTGCTGGGAGGATGTCACTATCTGTCCCCAAGCCTCAGTGCAGCCCGAGAATCCCTGGCTACTTACAGTCTCACCACGTTCGCCATTCTTGCCAGCAGGGCCGACAGGGCCGGGGGCACCGGGGGCACCAGGAGCACCGGGGGGTCCAGCAGGGCCGGTCTCACCACGGTCACCCTGGGAGGCAAGAGCAGGGAAAGTGGGTCAGCCCCTGAGGAAGGGGCCAGGCTGGGGTGGGCATGGGGCTGGTAGGGCTGCAGGGCTGAGGTGCAGCGCTCTTACCTTGGGGCCGGGAGAGCCGTCTCGTCCGGGAGAGCCTTCAGCGCCAGGGGAGCCCTGCAGAGGGAAAAACATCAGGGGCAGAGAAGCTCAGGATAGGCCCCAGTGGCCTTGCTGTGGGCACAGACTCTCGGGGACAGGGTCTGAGGATTGCTGACCTCGCGTCCAGATTCACCAGGAGGGCCAGCCAGACCAGGGGGGCCCACGGGGCCGGGGGGTCCACGTTCGCCGCTTGATCCAGAAGGACCTTGTTTGCCAGGCTCACCCTGAGAGAGGAGAAAGAGTCAGGCCAGGGATGGGTCGGGGCGGCGGGGGCCCCTGAGAGCATCTCTGTCCCATCTGTCCTCCGTGCATCCACCCTGCGCCCTCCCAGTCCAGGGACAGTTTCTGGAGACCCCAAGGTGAAGGGGACTCACAGAGGGGCCGGGAAGGCCGGGGAAGCCTCTTTCTCCTCTCTGTCCGGGCAGGCCAACCACGCCACGCTGTCCAGCAATACCCTGAGGTCCGGGGGTTCCGGGGGCACCCTGTGGGGGGCAGGCGGGGGGTGAGGCGCCTCATAGTGACATGGGGGGGCCGCTCCGGAGCGGTGGGGAGCTGAGCTGGCACTTACAGCAGGTCCATCAGCACCAGGGGATCCTTTCTCTCCAGCAGGGCCAGGGGGACCAGGGGGACCAGCTTCACCGGGGCGTCCAGCAGGGCCAGTCTCACCTCGGACACCTTTGGCACCTTCTTTGCCACCAGGTCCAGGAGGGCCAGGGGGACCAGCATTTCCCTGCATGGGGACAAGAGGGGCTGTCAGACTGCAGTGGCTTCTGGAGCATTAGAGGGGCCTGGGGGTGGTCTCCCTCCTGACAGCAGAGCGGTGGGTGCTACGCAGATACTCACGGAGGGGCCGGGGGGACCAACTCGGCCAGCAGCACCAGGGAAACCAGTAGCACCCTGGTGGGAGAGAAGGGAGGACAGGACGGTCAGAAAACGGACAGCCACTCGCCTGGCCCGGCCCCTCCTGCTGCCGGGGGCCGACGGGCTCTCAGGAGCGGTGGGAGGTACTCACAGGGGGACCAGCACTGCCGCGAGCACCTTTGGGTCCAGGAGCACCAACGTTACCCTGCGGGAGAGCACAGAGGACAGGTTCAGGCCGGCCCAGGCTCGGCTCTTTGCAGTCGAGGGTACGGAGGCGGG